TTGAGATGTTACAGGCTCTGGATGTGAAAGTGGGGAATGAATCTTAAAGGCTGTTTATAAACCATGCATATCCATGGCTTAGTCCCTCCATAGATTCTTCCCTTGGCTCTGAATTCAGTTCAAACAGTATTAAAAGGGGTTCCCTGGGTGGGTAAGTCGGTTATGCATTTGCCTTTGGCTCAGGTCAGGATCCCAGGGTCCTGGGATTGAGTCCCTGCTCAGCTGAGAGGCAGCTTCCCTTCCCCTCTGCCTGCTACTCTACCTGCTTGTGCTCTCCTTCTGTCAAATAAATAAAATCTTAGCAAATAAAATCTAAAAAAAAAAAAAAAAGCACAAAAAGAGAGCAGCCAACCCACACCTGCACAAGCCCTTTACTTGCACGCTAGTTATCAAGCTCACACACATGAATTAGCTGCATTAAATTCTTGACCTGCAGACCTGGTTGAAAAATCAAATTGTAAAATCAGCAATTAATTATCCCCAATCAAGATGCTCTTGTCCTTTTGAGTGAATCCTTGCTTCAGATGCACTTGTTACTGAGGTTCTAATGGCCCCTTGTCTGCAGGCAGTGAGACCCTGTAAAGCTATTAAATACAAGTGTCATTCAAAATAAAACTGTCGTAATTCAAATTCTAAAGCCAGCCCCTGTTAGGCACGATGACCACCCACCATTAGTTCAAGACCAACATCTAAAACAACCACTTCCCTGTGGTCAGAGTGGCCATAAATTACAGTGACTCACCAAAGTCGAAATCTCACATTGCCTAAGACTTTAAGTGTTTGCCAGGGGCCATGAGAAGTTAGAAAGAAAAAAATTATTACAATCTCACTGCACAAAATAGGCCACTGCAAACTCCTAAGGACATAAATTCTCATTACCTGGCTCTAGAGAAACCAGTCTGAATATCATTGTGTTCCTGATTCACAAACAGAAATGGATAGATTATCTGTAACTTCTTACATAATCCCAAAGCCCTCAATCCTTAACCAAACACAAAGCTCTCTCTATATAATGATCTCAATGGCTTTAAAAATAAGCGTCAAAATCCTATGCTCCAAAATGGAGTATACAAAAATGGTAATAACTGTTTTCAAGTGATTGGATGATGAATGATTTCCATTTTCTAACTTTAATCTCCAAAATTTTTCTATAAAAATTTCAATTATTTACACAATCAGAAAATTCCCTAACTGCCTCTCTGTCATGGAAGGTCCTGATTTCACCTCCAGAAGCCAAGGGATGATTAGAATTCTGACACCTTCTAGAAACTGCTGCAGCCTCCTGACATTGGAATGAGTCTGGATTTCACAGTTGTATCACCGATAGCCCAGGAGCCTCTATTTCTCCCATGAAGTTATGGGGTTTAACATAGAATCTCTGAAATTATAAGCAAAACAAAAATAAAGCAAAGTGGCCAAATGTTTGGATTTGTTTTCATTTACCAGATAGCCAGTAAGTTCACAAAAGCCTTGACTGTCTTCCAGAGAGAGTCGTAGAGAATAGAGAACAGGACACAGTTGTACCTTCACCCACTAAACAAGTCCACAAGATGGGGCTCTGATCATTTTCAATTTAGAACATTAGCTGAACTAGAAATCTCAGCAGGCACTAAACAGATGTTTACTGTCATGGTGAAGTCTATAAAGATAAATTTTAAAGTTAAAAGAATAATTGATCAAACTAAATCGAACTCAGCATGATGAACAACGTGCCGTATATGCACGTACACAGCCCAATCCAATGTTAATCAATGTATGGATTAAAAAAAAAAAGTGAGTCATCTCGCCATCACTTAGTAAGAAAAGCAGTTGAGGTAATAATTTGAAATTCCCTTCCCTCCACTGTATGGGTAAACCAGCCCTCCCTCTTCTGCAAGGGTCTTGCATGGGCCTGCTTCCAACCGTATTGTCTCTTCTTCCTCATCTCCCTGTCCCTCCTCAGCTTTCCCCACCAAGCCACGGAAACTGCTTTTGCCCTCCTGGTTACGATTCAATGGGGACTTTCTTGCCCTCAGCTGTATTCAATATTGACCCCACTGTCTTTCTGCCACCACATAGTCCTAGTTTCCTCCTCCCTTTTGGACAATTTCTCCCTGGCTCCTTGGCTGGCTTCCCCATTGTTCATTGCTGAAACAATGAACGCTTCAGGGCTTCAGGGCTTCAGGCCTCAGTTCTGGTCCTCTTCCCTATACAAACTCTCTGCAAGGGACTTCATCTAGTTGCATAGTTGGGAGGCCATATACAGACACCGACTTATATTTCCAGGTCAGACTTTCATTCAAGTTCCAGTCTCATGGACCAAACTGTCTACTCAACACCCCCAACTGGCTGTCTATCGAGCATTTCAAAATTCCTATATCCCTAATGGAACATTCCCTTTCTCTCTCTCTTTCCCATTTCAATATGTTCCTTTCTATTCATCACCATCTCAGCAAATGATACCATTACATACTCAGCTATTCAAGCCAAAACCTTGGAGTCATTTTTGATTCCCCCTTTCCTGGGCCTCCCAGCCCAATCTAGCACTGACTAGTTGACTCAGACCTGAAAAGATATCTTATTTTTACCCTAGTCCAACCTATCAACATACCTTCCCTGAAAAATTCCAATTGTCTTCTAAAAGGTCCTTCAATTTACATTCTGGCCTCCTTATGTTCCAAAAGGCAAAGTTTGAAAACATAAATTCAGAAAATGTCACTCTATTGCTTAAAATCTTTCAATGACAGGTGACTGGGTGGATCAGTCAATTAAGTGTCTACCTTCAGCTCAAGTCATGATCCTAGGGTCCTGGGATGGAGCCACACATCCAGCTCCCTGCTTCTCCCTCTCCTCTCTACTGGTGCTCTCACTCTCTCTCTCTCTCTCTCTCAAATAAATAAATAAAATCTTAGATCCTGATTTCAATTCTTCTAAGTTGAAAGTGAGATTGTAGGAGCACATTGTAGTTCTATAGAATAGTACCTTTTTTTAAAGTACCTTTTATTTGTATAAATGTATGTACTTTTTAAACATACAATGTTTAAAATATAACATATAACAAATAATACATATAACATATAATGTATTATTTGTTATATGTTATATTTTGGGTGATTCTGGGTGATTCATCACCTTATATAACAGTGAATCATCAGTCTTCTATAACACCCAGCACTCACCACAACACATACCCTCCCCAGTGTCCATCAACCAGTTACCCCATCCCACCCCACTCCCCAGCAGCCCTCAGTTTATTTCCTAAGATTAAGAGTCTTTTATGGTTTGTCTCCCTCTCTGGTTTCATCTTGTTTCATTTTTCCCTCCCTTCCCCTATGATCCTCTGCCTTGTTTCTTAAATTCCACACATCAGAGAGATCATACGATAATTGTCTTTCTCTGATTGACTTATCTTGCTTAGCATAATACCTCTAGTTTCATCCACGTCATTGCTAATGGCAAGATATATATCTGGATTTATATATATATATACACCACATCTTCTTAATCCACTGGGTTTTTTTTTTTTACACATTTAGTTCTACTATAACAAAGCAACTTATACAAATGTTTAAAACTGAACATCATCTTTCCTTTCCAGTGAAACAAAAAGAAAATTTAAAAATAAACAGGAACAAAATTACAATAGAGAATGTAAATTCCAAATATGATTCTATAGGTTCTGCTGATTCTTCCATTAAGGGGCAGGGCTCAAGTCATCATTAGGACAGAGTTTAAAAGTGTCACCTTAAACTGTAAGGATGTCTGTTAAACATCCCAGTTAAACATGCCAAAGGAAAAACCATGTTCTCAAAATCGCTACTTAACCCACCCAAACATGTCAAAATCACTCTTTGTTGACCTACTATAACCCCACTTTTAAAAGTTTTTTGGGGGGGCGCCTGGGTGGCTCAGTGGGTTAAAGCCTCTGCCTTCGGCTCAGGTCATGACCTCAGGATCCTGGGGTCGAGTCCCACATAGGGCTCTCTGCTCTGCCGGGAGCCTGCTTCCCTTCCTCTCTCTCTGCCTGCCTCTCTGCCTGCTTGTGATCTCTTTCTGTCAAATAAATAAATAAAATCTTTGATAAAATAAAATAAATCTTTTCTTCTTTTTTTAAAATAAGAGAAAGTAGGTAGGTACATGTTGGTAAATGTTAACTGTCCATATTCACATAGAGACACAGTATAATCTCTGAGCCCAATACATAGGAAGGAGGAACAAAAAAACTAAAATTCTATGTACTACTACTCAGAGGCCTAGCACCCTCCAGCTTCCAGAAAAGCTAAGGGAGCAGAAAATTTTTCTTTTTTTTCCCAGAATATGGTAGTGTTGATTCCATAAATCTTTTGTTGAGACAGGAAGGGATAAAAATGAATTAGAACAGAAGGAGGGAGAAATTCTTTTCCCACTCTATTCTGCTCAAGATATTTCCCTCTCCAATAAGTTGAGAACCATGGCATAAAGGGAGAGAAAGGGGAGGGCTGGTGTGGCTGGGTGATGGACATTGGGAAGGGTATGTGCTATAGTGAGGGCTGTGAATTGTGTATGACTGATGATTCACAGACCTATACCCCTGAAGCAAATAACACATTCTATGTTAATACAAAAAATAAAAGCAGGGAAAAAACGTAGACATTTTACCAAAGAAAACATAACAACTAATAAACACATGAAAATGAAAAATTTAAAAAAAAAGAATAGTTCTTAAAATTTCACCATAGACAGGATATCAAACTGCTAGGGTAAAATGCCCTCACATTCCTGCCTTTGAAATACCCTGAAACCTATTCCAATTTTTCCTTTGGGAAATGAGTTGATTACCCAGATGAGAAGAAAGCAGGCTTGTCCCATCTCCGAGTTTATTTTTCTAAGATAAGAATGTTCTGGGAATGTGAAAGTAGGATCCAGAATGTCTGTTTTTTGGTATCAGACTGCTGCAGGCCTCCTCTGCCATCATCCCATGTTTTGTCATCACTGCTGATCATCAAGGCTACTGTCAGGATTTTACAGAGCCTCTGTATGTCTCAGGTCGATTTCTGTCCCATGACTATGTATGTGTTAATGGTATACAGGAAAAACATAATACAAAACATCATGATAACCACTGACAGTGTAGCCAGAAGTATGATGGACATCATCTTTTCCTGTGTCCCCAACAGCACGCATGCATAAGGTCCATGACACATGTGGGTACTGCACTGAATGGGTTTTTTAATCAGTGGTAGGTGATAGTGAATGAGAATGACCAAGAAGATCACCTGTACAGACCACTGAATGAGAAAGTAGACAAGATACATTATCAGGAGGGGCTTCTCCCGGGATAAGTCAAAAATCTCATCTTCCTTTGTGTCTACGTGGTCTGCGTTTCTCTCAGAGCCATGGGGTTCCTTTTCCAAAGATGCCTTCTTAAATATCTTGGTTTGCTTATGCACGGTCTGAGAGACAAAAAACTCCATCACAAAAAAAATGGAGGAAAAGGCAAAGCCAACCACATACCAAACTCCTAATATAGGCCTCGTGAAGTGATTCTCATAGCATTCTGCCAGACAGGTTTTGGAGATATTTCCATGGCACTGGAAGTCTACATCCAGGTGAAGCCAGGTGTTTTGCACTACATACACAACTGAAATATAAAAAAAAGTAATGCTGAACCACAGTGCTCGACCTATGTAGAAGTTGGTGGGGTCTTTGCTCATCTTCAGGATGATAGGTGCCATACCCCAAAATTTAGTACTCTCGGCCATCTTGGAATCTAAGAAGACAAAAGCAAAGTCGCATCAGGGGAAAGGAAAGGCTGTGTTTTAGGTATTTTGTACAATCTCTGCTGTTCTCTTATTAGGTACTCTCTGTGAAGGTACTCAGTGGTCTTAGGTGGGAGGACAACTCCAAAGAAAGAGTATTCAAAATAAATATACCCACTTAATAATATTTCCTGTTCTTTCATTTGCTAACTTCTTCTCATTTTTCCTTACCAATCTCTCTTCCCAACCCCATTGCATTTCCCAACCTCTTCCCACAGTTTATTAAATCCTCTGTATAGTTATCCTGTTTGCTCTCATCATAAACTCTGTGGCATTTACTTCTTTTTATAATCTGTGTACCAACCTGTGTCAACAGTACAGTTTCAACTGTCATAGAACTCCCACAGTTATCTGCATGTAAGTGCTTAAAGGTAAGTCTTCATCATTTCTCCCTGAGATGTAATTATCTGCTGGATTACCTGAACTCACCAGTATCATTTTAGGCTCTTCCTGAGGCCAACTTTCCTAAGCCCATTACTAATTTCAAAATATGTTTCTGATGAACCAGGCAAGAGGCATGGATTGCCTTTTATGGGAGAGCAGCTTAAAATTCTTACTTGCATTATATTCTGCTGCTCATTTGAACTTTTTATTGATTCACAGATATTTGGAGCATCAGACACAATTCTGAGTATAGAAAAATGAATGAGGTAATTCTTGCCTTTGATTACTGATCTAATTTGCATTTCATTGGTGATTAATGATATTGAATATATACATCAATACTAAAAATAAAAAAAAAATCTGATGGCGTGAAGAGTGCATTCTTCCAATAAGTTTATTGGGACCTGTGGTTTCTGTAATTCTCTATCCCTCCTATGAAAACATTTTCAGAACAAATTATTACGATACTCAAACAGTCCACACTTGCTCCAGCCTTCCCTACCAAGATGACTGAGATTTTGGGGGAACTGCATCATTGCTCAATTTCTTCCTTTAGTCCATCTTGTTTTTCACACCCCTGACACTTGGCTTCCTCTCAGAGACATTAATCCTTAACAAATATTTTGCACCCTCAATTCTGTCTCAATGTCTGCTTCTGGAAAAGTCAATCAACAACACTCCTTTTCAGATTCTGGGAGCCCAAGAGACAAGCCAGATAGTAGAGCTTTTCTTCATCCGTGGGGTCACAGTTACTGGAAAGCCAAGCATTCTATAGAAAACATAATACTTAATCCTTACCCTGGGACTTTCTGAAAAAACTATCATGGAGAAGTGACAGACTTGCATCAGTTTTCTTTATGGGGATTATTACAGAGCCTGATCTGTTCTGTGAAGACCTGCTGGGTTGTCAGGAGAAGGGAATGTGCTGAAATTAAAAGTGGAGGGAGACTCTGGGAAACAAACTGAGGGTTACAGAAGGGAGAGGGATGAGGTAACTGGGTAATGGGTATTAAAGAGATCATGTGTTGTGATGAGCACTGGGTGTCATACACAATTAATGAACTGTTGAACACTACATCAAAATAATGGTGTACTATATGTTGGCTAACTAAACATAATAATAATAACAACAACAAAAGTGGAGAGGGGATGGGATGCATTTAGACTGAAATATTCCCAGCACCCCCTCCTAACTTCTTAGGTTACTTTAAATTATTTTTCTCATTTCTTAGGTAGATTTTTAGTATACCTTGAATTAATTTTTAAAGCATAATGTGTACAGAAAGCACACACCATTATCAAATGGTAGATAGAACTTTCAATGTAATGTTAACATCAAATACACAAGTACACAAGTCCCATTGTTCAATTCTATGAATTTCACAGAATGAATACACTCAAGTAATTATCATTCAGATCAAGAAGAGGCCAGTACAAACATCCCAGAAGCCCCATTTGTACATTCATTCAGGAACCATTCTCCATTGGGAACCAACATCTGAATATCTAACAATATATTTTGCTTGCTCTAGAAATGCATGTAAATGAATCATGAAGTATGTAATCTTTGATACCTGGATTTTTTGTTTTATATATTGTTTTGTGGATCCACCTATAGTATCATTGATTGTAGTTGTGGTTCTTTCCTTCTCTTTGCTGTAGAGTATTCCTCTATCTGAATATGTCATGTTTTATTGATTTATTTTAGTGTTGGTGATTTTCAAGTTGGGGCTTTTATAAGTGGTGCCATTATGATGATTTTGTACATATATTTTGATATATTAGTCATACTCCCCCAACATGAGAGATCTGTTTCCTTTGTATATGCCCCAACACTTGGCAGTGTCAGGTGTTTTTCATTTTAGCTGCTATGGTTAGGTCCATAGTTGTATTGCATATGGATTTAATTTGCATTTCCCTCAATGATGCTCATTGGCTATTTGAGTAGTCTTTTGTGAAGTGCTTGTCCAAGTCTTTTGTCCATTGTTCTCTCATAAGTTATGTGTCTTTTCTTTCTTGAATTAGAGGAGTCCTTTTTGTGTTCTGGATACGAGTCCTTTATAGATATGTGAATTATAAGTATCTTTTCCCACTCTGAAGGATGCCTTTCCATTCTCTTAATAGAATCATTCAATGGACAGATTGTGGAAATTTATGTTTATTTCTTTTCAAGTTAGTGGTGGGCATGTCCTATTTAAGAAACAACTTACTCCAATATCATGAAAATGCTCTCTTTTTTTACTGAAAACTTTGTTTTACTTTTAAAAAAAAGTACCTGTACTAAGGCAAAATACAGTAAAATTCTTCCCTTTCTAGTGGATAGTTCTGCAAGTGTTTATAAAAGCTTATAGTTGTATAACCCCCACCAAAATCAAGATACAGAACTGTTTCACCACAACAAAAATGGCCCTTGGTAATTAACTTCTCTTCTGCCATGCCTTCTGTTTCCTGTCTCTATGGTTTTATCTTTCCCAGAATGTCATGGAAGTAGATTCATACAAAATACAACCTTGTGAGTCTTACTTCTTTTCATGTGGCATGATACATTTGTGATTCATCCATATATATTAGCATGTGTAATTAGTTGTTCCTTTTTGTTGCTGCATAGTATTTCATTGTATGGTTGTACTATGGCTTGTTTATTCATTAGTCATTTGAAAGATATTTGGGTTCTTTCCATTGGGGATAGTTACATGTAAAGCCACTATAAACAGTCATGCACAGGCTTTTGTGTGAATAGTAAATTTTCTTTTCATTTGAGTAAATATCTAGAAGTGAGATCTTTAGGTCGTATGGTTTGTTTATGTTTATAAGAAACTGTCAAATTGTTTTTCAAATGGTGGTGCCATTTTGCCTCTGATTTCTAGTTGCTCTTCATTCTTGTCAACATGTGACATTGTCAAGTTTTTTTTTTTTAATTTTAGCCACTCTTATCAGTGTGTATTAATACCTCACCATGGTTTGCATTTCTCTGACTAATGATGTCAAATCTGTCTTCATGTGTTCATTTTCCATCTGTAAATTTGTATCTTCTTTGGGCAAGTGGCTATCCAAATCTTTTTGTCCCTTTTTAATTTTTTTTAATTGAGTTATCAGAGCTCTTTATGTATCTTGGATACAAGTTTATTATTGGATATATGATGTGCAATTATTTTCTAGAAATCATTGTTTTTCAATCTTTAACAGTGTCTTCTGAAGAACTAAAGTTTTTAATTTTTATGAGATCCAACTTAGCACTTTGTACTATTTTTTTTAAAGACTTTATTTATTTGAGAAAGGGAGAGAGAGAGAGCATGAGCAGGGTGGAGGGGCAGAGGGAGAGAGACAAGCAGACTCCCTGCTGAGCAGGGAGCCCAATGAGGGACTCCAGCAGGACCCCGAGATTATTACCTGATCCAAAGGCAGATGCTTAACTGACAGAGCTACCCAGGCATCCCAGCAGACTGTTTTGTTGTCATGTCGAAGAACTCCTTGTATGGTCAAGGTAACAATGATTTTTGTCTAATTTCCTTCTTGCCAATGTTAGTGGTGAAAAGTCTGCTGTCAATATGATTCTATTTCCTTTGAGTGTCATCTATTTTCCTGCTATGAAGGCTAAGTGAGGATTTATGTTTTTGCTAAATTCTGGACATTTCTCATCTGTTGTCATTATGACTGTAACTGCTTATCTTCTGTTCTCTCATTTAGTATTTTTATAAATTCTATTAGATGGATATCTCTCATGTTTATTTTTATATTCTTCATCATTGTTATCTCCCTATCTACTGTACTTGGGGAGAATTATCTATTTATGTCTCCCAGGTCAAGAATATTTTTTCTAAGGTGTTCGTTTTGCCCTCCAAGTACTATTTTGAGGGGTTTTCCGTTTCAACAAGGAAAAAATTTATTTGGTCTATGGTTTTTTAAATTAATTAAATATCCTTTAATGTCTCTTTGAATATCTTACTTTTAGTTATTTTATATATCTTGTATACCTTCTTGAAGTGTTTCCTTGGTATAAAGTGTTTAATTTGCTGTGTTTATTGTCTCTCTCTCATAATATTTATTTTCTTCAGAAGTTTTGTCTTTCATGATGCTGCAATAATTTTTCATGTTAAAGTCTTTTAGATACCCCAGAGTTACTATCTGTGAACCTGACTTTAGGATATGAATGTGATTATCCTGCCACTTGCCCTTGGATTTCTCCTTGTGCTAAATTTGAAGCATTCTTGGAACTACCACTCATATGTTGCAGTAGTAATATATATGGTATTAAGTATACATTTTGGGTATTGATTTCCTTATTTAATTTTATTCTTTAGGTTATCTGTCCCCAAGAATTGTATATCAATCTAGGTCTATTGAGTTTCCACTTAATTTGAGCACCATTATAGATTTTTAAAAAATAATTTCCTTGTCATTCTGAAAGTCTTGATGCAAAAGGGAAGATTCTACAGTGTCTATTTAGTTCCCCATCTTCAAATAGAGGTCAGCAGCATTTTTCTGCTATTGAAAATAATACAGAAACTTCTCAGTGAAAAACAAGGAGATAATCCTTGCATTTTGGCATGAATATTTTATATCCTAATTCCCTCATGGTCAATCACTGCCTTATTCTGGGGATTTGTGTCAATAACAATAACAGTAAGCTATTGTTTCTTTGTGTTCTCATCTCAAACCACTTATCCCTTTATCTTACCATATATTTTAAGATAGTCTCTGGTATATTTATTTCTTTACAATTGCAAGTTTCAAAGACCTTGAAGACTGTTTCAATTATAGATGTTTGGTGAAGTTCCTCAATAGACTAAGAAGAAGAAACAAGAACCCTGTTTATGGCTTTTTTTTTTCATTTTTCTCAGGAGATAGAGAAAATTTATAGAAAATTATTAAATATAGGGCTAAGTGACAAACTTAATAGATCTCTTTCTATAGTAGGCTGACTCCAGGAAATATTCTTTCGATGTTATG